GAGCCATATAGCACGTTTTCTATTAATATTTTGCTGCACTTAACTTCCTTTGGGCCTAAAATCGTTATAACTTTGTTCTTTAGGCACGTAAACTGCCTTAAAGGATTTCAAAGTTGTAATTAGCAACCAGTCTTCTGTCAGTTAAATGCAGTCCAGTATTGGGCCCTAGTTGTGAATTTAACACTGTACTTAGGGCGTTCTCTTCTCACAATCCAATATACCAGCTCAACTGGAAAAAATACGTGATTTTCATGGGATGTATTCTCAGTTTTCTCTTGTTGTACAGCCTGCCCCTCACCCCATCACCACCATCAGAATGTGGAAACAGTAATCTTTGGCCTATGTGGTGCACTGATAAGTCCCAAGCATTTAGTAGGTGCTCAGTAAATATATGTTGAATGGATAAACTATATTAAAAGAAAAAAAAAGAAAACCTAACCATTGATGGCTTAATACAAAACTCTACTATTCTGCAGGTAAAGGAGGGGGAGGGGGGACCCCTTAGGGCTAAAAGCCCTTATCCATCTTTTCAAAATACACAAAAATCTGACAGGGGTGCTTTGCAAGCTAGGATATTATCTTAAGCCTTTTTCTGCAATTCTATTGCAAATGCATTGAAAATGAAGTCACCTTTCAATCTGAGGTAGTATAACTGTGCTTTCAAATAACCTGAGGTCATAACAAAGGAGACAAGACACATTGGAACACTTGAGCAGTATTCTTGTCATTACAATAATGACTGCAAATTGGTTTATACTCACCTTCTCTCAAGTAAAATCTACCGAAAATTCCTCTGTATCCGGTGTGTGTAAATTTTACTGCACTTACAGTAAACCTAAAAACTTTCTAAATTTAGTAAATAGTAAATACCTCAAAATACCTAGAGGTACGTCTCAACCGCTAGTGGTGTGAGAATTGTTTCAGCTCTCTGCTTTAGCGTCTTCAAATACATTTTCTATAACAGAATCTTACTTCATTCCAAATTAATATCAGGTATTTCAAAATCAAAAGAAAAAAGATCAGTTCTATTCCAAGATACAGGTGTTACTGAATACCTGAAGAATTCAATAAAAAGCAGTCCAGGCTTCCCTTGAATTAAATCCATTTGATTTGTGATACTGGCTTTTACCAACCTCCAAAATTAGAGGATCTTGAATTTAGATCATGTTTTATGTACTTCACTGTATTGTCTTATTTTACTTTCAAAACCTGAAATTCCACCATTACAGTTGCATTCTTTGTTCCATTCTCTTGTTTCCTGTTGAAAATACAAATAATGTGGAGAGAAACATACAGGGAAAATCAAGAGCCCATTTAACAAAAAGACATTGAATAAAAATAGAAAATTGTTCCAAGAAGAAATATAAATTGTAAACAAATGACTAACCTTATTAATAAGATAAATGCAGGCCTTCCCTGGTGGTCCTGTGGTAAAGAATCCGCCTTCCAATGCAGCAGATGCAGGTTCTATCCCTGTAGGGGAACTAAGATCCCACATGCCTCCGGTCAACTGAGCCCCCGCACCACGACTACTGAGCTCGCGTGCTTCAAACTACAGAACCCACGCGCTCTGGAGCCCTTATGCCACAACTAGAGAGAAAACCTCCATTCCGCAACTATAGAGAAGCCCACTCACCACAACGAAGATCCCACACTGCAACGAAAGATCCTGCATGCCACAACTAAAACCCAACACAGCCAAAATAAATTAATTAATTAAAAGCAATTAGTAAATAAAAGGTCACTTAAAAAATAAGATAAATGCATACAAAAGGAATACTGAAATAGTTTACATCTAATAAATTAGTAAACTAATTTTAACTTATAAGTCATTGACAATTTACCACAAATATATTTATAAAACTCGTTCCTTAGGGTTTTGGTTTTGGTTTGTTTTGTTTAAGATAATTGAAAGGGAGAACGGGAAAAGACTTGATGTCTGAAAAGGACAAAGAAGATAGGAATGAAAATGGGGTTGGGAGGCTAGACCACTAAGGCAAACTCCCTCATTCTACTAGTTTTTCTTGTTTTATTTTGTTTGTGCTTTTAGGCTGAACAATATCGGAACTGTTTTCTTATTTGGGGAAATTAAAGTTGAGGCGGGGTTTGGAGTCCCTGTCTCCTAACTCCCTGAGAATAGTGACATTGCTAACCCGACAATAGTAGTGAGAAGCAGGCAAAAGAGGAAATGGGGCCAACAGAGGTTCCATTAAGACTGGGGGCGGGCAGTGGGGAGGGGGTTGGCTATCGTTTCTGCTGCCTCTGTTCCTATCCTTCCCGAGGCTTTGCATTCATTCCTTTTTTTGTTTCTTTAGTTGTGGTAAAATGTGCATTGTACTTTGAGCTAGCTGATATCTTTCAGTAAATTTCTTTTCTGAGTTAACCAGAGTTGGTTTCTGTTGCTCACAAACAAGAATCCTCAATTGCATACTTTGAGTAGAGTCAGTTTCTGTTTATGAAGACATTTTTCCAAATGGTCTGGCAGTTTTCCCTATTTGTACTATTGAAATAAATGTTTCCCCTTGCCTAATCTATTTCACTTCCTACTGGTGAACACAAATTGACTGGGTTTTCCATCCCGCACTCTTTCTATCCTCTTTTGCCTACTAAGAATGTGAAAGTTTTTTGTTTTCCCCCAAGATTTAAAATTACAAAAATTATTTATTCAAGAATTATTTATTACAGTATTGTTCCTTAATATTCATTTCTCCATTTTGAAAAAAAATTAAAATATCAAAGTGCAACTGGTAACCATTGTTCGTAAGTCCCACCAAGATTAACGTGCATCTTCCTCACAAAGATTATTGCAACAAATGGAATATGTAATACTTTCAAAGTTTTCATAAGAAATCTTTGCCCCAAAATTATGCCAGCTGGCTATTTAATGTAACTATTAAAGAGCAGAGAAGAAAGTCTACTTAAAATGTGGTAATGGAATTATGATTAGATTCATCACCAAAAATCATTTCTCCCTTGAGAGAGGTTATAAGAGGAGCAGAGCATCTCTTTCTTTTAAAGCAGTTGTCTACACAACTGCAGACAAATATTTCTGTGTCTGTTCCCTAAAAGGTCTAAATTCTCAGTTCTACACACACAATTAAAAAAAAAAAAAAAATCAATTGACCTCACAAGCAGAGGGCTAAAACTACATAGAGGGCTCAAAAAATATGGTGATATCCAAAAATGGTGAAATATTACATTGGAGGAGGGGGACAATAACCCTTTGCTCTCCAGACTTGTTGGGGTGTTGAAATTTCACCCTCATTGCTTATAAGAACTAAAAATTAAGCCTGGTGTAGAGAAGGAGTCACCACAGATATTGACAGGCAGTACCATTTTTTTCTCAAAGTGTGATACAAAAATAACCTGGGTTGCTTATTTTAAAAATAAACCACTACACACACTGAATTTCAGTTCACAGTTACTAAGGCAGAATCTGTGAGGGCAGGCACACGCATTGAAATCTGAGAACCACTGATTTATTGAGTACCTATAATCGTCCAGATATCATGAGAATAAGACATCGTTGCTTCTTCTCTGTTGGAACTCAAAATCTAGCAGAGATAGGGTATATCTCTCTAAACAAAGGAAACAAAAGGACAGCTTCATGGGAGAAGTGCCAGTGGTGAAAGAGGTAAGGCCTAGATTTTAAAGAATTGGTGGGATTTCACCACATGCTTATTCATTCATTCATTCATTCATCCATCCATTCATTTAACACAGGAAAATGAAGTATGTGCAGTGTACAGACACTGAGCCAGGTGCTTGGGACAGAGTGGTGACAAAGACTAACACTGACACTGCTCTCCAGGAGGCCGCCACTCTAATAAAGTGGGACAGACAGAACACATGGAAACAGACATAATACAAGGTCTGATACTGGTAAGGAAGTGGCAGAGAATATGAGAGGGAGACTTACTTCAGAGAGGATGCTTCATTGGGAAAGTCCTCTTGAGGAGACAAGATTTAAGGGAAGAACTAAAAGATAAGGAGTAGGAAAAATAGGAGGAAGAATATTCCAGTTAGAGAAACTGACGTGTGCTAAATACCTGGAGCAGAAAGATCTTATGTTTCT